CTACTAGTAAGTAGAAGAAGCAAGGGTAAAAAAGGATCGCTTTAATTACTTTTCGTTTTCTTGTCCTTGAAACAGTGTAGAGCTACAAATTAAGTATTGTTGGGCGCGCCCAATAAGAGCTTAATTTATCTAATTACTATTGAATTGGGTTCTATTTGATTCTAATAGTAAATCTCTACAAGAGAATACTGACGCCAAAAAAAGCGAAAAATGAGATTCAGATGTATGGCATTCAGTTCACCGTCCAGACGTCCTAACTCCTGACCTTCGGCTGGATTGCTCTATTCTAAGGAAAGTTTCTGCACCAGCACTGGGCAAGGTGATGTGATAGACTGAGATAGAAATAATTTACTGTCACCTTTTCTTAGCAATCTCGTCAGATAAGATCCTAACGTGCCTCTCCAAATGTTCCATCGCCTTTAAAGTATATCATACCGTGCCTCATGCAAGAGTGGGATACCAACAACTTGCTGTTCTTTTTTCTCAACAATCTCGTCAGCAAATATCTTTGGGTGCCTCTCCAAATGCTCCCTCAGTACATATATCTTACCGAGTCTCGTGCAAGAGTAGGATACCAACAACTTGCTGTCTTTTTTTCGAAGAAACCTCGTCATCACCTATCCTAGTGTGCCTTTCCAAGTGCTCCATGGCTTTCTCTATCCTGAGGAAAGCTTGCGGTCTTCTCGCCACATCTGTTTGCACCTTTTTCTGAGCAGATTGAGATGTTAGACTGAGATAGGAAGAACTTACTGTCTCTTTTTCTCAGCAATCTCGTCAGCAAATATCCTAGCGTGCCTCTCCAAATGCTCCCTCGCCTTCTCTGTCCTGAGAAAAGCTTGCTGTCTTCTCGCCACATCTGCTTGCACCTTTTTCTGGGCAAGATGATGTGTTAGACTGAGATAGAAAGAACTTACTGTCTCTTTTTCTCAGCAATCTCGTCAGCAAATATCCTAGCGTGCCTCTCCAAATGCTCCCTCGCCTTTTCTGTCCTGAAAAAAGCTTGCGGTCTTCTCGCCACATCTGTTTGCACCTCCTTCTTAGCAGATTGAGATGTTAGACTGAGATAGAAATAACTTACTGCCTCTTTTTCTCAGCAATCTCGTCAGCAAATATCCTAGCGTGCCTCTCCAAATGCTCCCTCGCCTTCTCTGTCCTTCTTACCACATTTGCTTGCACCTTTTTCTAGGCAAAATGATATTGTGTAAGACTTAGATAGGAAAAACTTACTGTCTCTTTTTCTCAGCAATTTCGTCAGCGAATATTCTAGCGTGCCTCTCCAAATGCTCCCTCGCCTTCTCTGTCCTGAGAAAAGCTTGCTGTCTTCTCGCCACATCAGCTTCTACCTTCTTTAGGGTTAGGTCGTCTTTGGCACGCTCATCCTGTAAAACAATTCGTATTTTATTAACTGCAAAATCATATCAATAAATAGAAAAAACGTGGACCCATTTCACTTTGCATATAGCAGGTATTGTCTACTTACCTACAGATAAGATTTACAAGCTCAGCGTGCACTTAGCACTTAGCATGTAAGGGAGAGAAATTACAAAGATTTAGGAATGGCAATTTAACTACTTAAATTTTTTATATTTATGTAAAACATCTTGACTGATCTCATTCAGAAGGTACAACAGTAGGTATTATTAAAGTGTTTTCAAAATAGCGACATTAATTAAGCAAATCAGCTTACCAACTTAATCATTTCATCATGAATCCGATCCATGTATCTGTTGTACAAGTATTTCCTGTACGTGTTAAATTCCTTTAGGGAGCATATCGCTCGACCATCAGGGGTAGCGAAGCCTATCTCCTTCATTCTGTTACTGGCAGCCTTTTGGCGGAAGTAGAACTTCAAGTGAGGGTCGTGGACTGCCACATAGTCGTAGGAGACGGTGTAGCAGTAAGGGTCTGTCAGATCGAAGGAGGGGGATTGGACGCCAACGCCAAGGCCGATTCTGCGCACCTGGGAACGAGATAAGAAAAATCATTATTGCTTTAGACTACTAACTATTCTCCAATTATTTATCTGCCACTCCTTTTCTATCTACCGGATAGCTTCTGTAATGACGATTTCGTATCGTATTACCGACTGAAAGAATCTTAGACGGCAACCGAGTACTTCTTAGTTTTTCTTATAAAAATACTATATTTATTCTGTAGTCTCGTCCAGACACTTTCGGAAAACAACATAATTTGTCGGCCCAAGAATGTATCTACCTGAATCACCAACTCTACCATCCAATCTGGCAATATACGAGTGTAAAAAGGCCTCGATTCTGACAGCAATAATGTTTCATAACCAGTTTATGTATAGATATATTTAGTACCTAAGCATAAAAAAGAATCAGATTATCTATTGCTGTAATTTTCTTTTACTGAATACGTATACTAACTTTTGCTCAGGACCATACATTTGCTAACTATTATTGTTTTCTATAAAGAATAAAACGTCATTCTAAGATTTTGTAGCCGTAGTAAGTATACATGTCCTTTTTTAAGCATTTCACGAAATAGTTGAATTAGCAAAGAAAATTTCACACGGAATCGTGAGCCATGTATCACTATTTAGGGTCACCCTTCGCTTTATTAACATCTGTGCGTAAAGACCCGCACTAAATCAGGGTTACGGCACATAAATCGCACGTGATCTCGTGGGACGTTCGTCAACTAATTGCCTGTGTGGTGTACCTTTAGTGGAAAACTACAGTACGGCGGTTTGAATAGGCTATATTCGACAGTTGTCAAAATCATAAGGATTTTCTTTCTATTTTTGCACATGCTGCAAAAAAGTAAATTTGTCCGCGGTAAAAAGCCTACCTTATGCATTCAGGGATGTTGTAGCAGTAGTAAAATAATTTTTGTCAGTATATTTAGAGTTTATTGATTAAAAACACTCTAACAAACAAATCTTTCTTCTTTATAAAGATTATGATAATGGGTCATCATCTACAGTCATAATAGTCCATTGCTGGTCTTGGGCCTTCTTCTGTTGGAAGGTGCTTGCCTCACCAGTGGCGAAGAGTGTCATTTTAGCGAAGGAGCAGTAAAATGTACAAAATTATGTATGAACCCTTCGCTACTGTGCCCCACCATATTTGGCAGGTGCAGATTGCAGCACCATAATATTATCTTTGCTTCCAAATGCACTCAAATGCCTGCCTAAGTCGGAATCAAACTTGTGATCTCTGACAGTAAACCAGAAGGTTGAACACTTAACTAATCGATCATCGCATCGTACAGAGCACTACACAAGAAGCAAATGATATTATTAGAACTCTAAGAATCCGAGATGTAAGATGTTTGTACAGGTGATTTACTAAGAATTGTAAAGAAGGACCCGAAAATAATTATTTTCTAGTTACGCTCTGTCAGCAGTAAACTACCCACATAATTTACATGTAGGTATGGGAGGGGTTCAATATCTGCACACCTTTGATATCGATGGCCCAAAACTGACGAAGTTATGAGGGCGGGGCATACATACAGACAGACTCGACGAAATTATAAGGGTTTGTAGAGACTACAAAACCCTAAAAACCAGTTTAAGTTAATCTCTCAAATAGGTAGGTCGATGTACTGCTGATAGTACCTACATAGTGCAATTAGCGACACAATAAGCTTTACCAGGAATTATGACATCGGAAATTTCAAAAACTAGGACAGTGCTTTTACAGGCTTTCAACGTTACTTATCAAACTTCCGCTGCGCCACAAAACAGATCCGTTTACTCAAAGACTAACTTTTAACTTCTTATGTTTATACCTCACAGAGAGTGTTCTTGTTATAACGATATTTTAGTCTAATTAATATATATTTGAACCATATCACACAAGTCGTTTGCGAGCGGATACGGAGCGGAGTGGACGCCCGACGGATGGGTAGTAAATTCGCCGCAGACGCGCGGCATATTCGCAAAGATTTGGTATGAATACCATCATCATCTTCCTGCCCTTTTCCCAATTACTTGGGGTCGGCGCAACACGTTTTGTTGAACACAAAATCGTGTTGCAAAGGATTTGGCTTAATTTTACGACCGGCCGCCTACCAGACGTCAACCCTCCTTGGGGATGCTTTTGTGGTGAATTAATCACCACCATACGGTTGGCCCTGGCTGTTTGGATCGGGTTCATCCCTTGGTCGCCTCTTACGACCCCCACGGGAAGAGAGGGGGTGGTGCTATTCTACTCTGCCTGCACCACCACGGCTTAGTTTTGGTATGAATACCGCCGGTATACAATTTATCATTAACGATAACAAAATAAAAATATTTGAGACTCATACTGATTTTACATAATTACCTACTGTCTAAGAAGATTAATTAGGTAATTTATACCGCGAGAGGCGTACGAATACCCATTGTTAGAACAGTACCCAGTGTGCCATATGAAGGCAAGCCCAAAATCCTTTTAAAGCCGCTGCTTGATTATGCTAATGCTTGCTTTTCAGCGCTGAATACCGACTGTATATTATACTTTAGTTAGATCTAGAGGTATTAAAAAATATTCATTATTTTGGAGCTAAACATTGAGAAGATAACGCAAAGTTAACAAAGGGAACCTTTCTCCTTCCAGCCCAATATTGGCTTTAAATATTTCAAATATACGGTGTAGTCTATTTTCAATTTGCTACTATAGTCAACGAATTAAAGATGGACTATAGTACATTCATACATCCCGTAGAAAGACTGTGTATCACCATAGTGAAAAGTTGTCAACCTGTCGACTATAATAAATACCTGCACATCAACTCTCAAATCCCTTAGTCGCTTGAAACCCTTTTAATCTATTGAAAGTCTGTAACTCCATCAAAGCATTCTCCAAAGCCTGCATTAATATTTAGAAGTTACTTAGTTCTTAGCTTAACCTCAACAAACAATGCAATGTAGTGTTGCCGTTCGATAATGGACTATCGATAGTTTACGCTATCGATAGCCTATCGACAGACTCTGTAAAACTATCCTGGTAGATCAAGATACACTTGCTTAATTCGCGGTCTTGGAGTGAGCCGCTGTAACCCAGATGGTAGAGGCGTCGCCAGTAGGTACAGATGGCGAAGGTTGCTGGTTCGAATCCAGCCTGTGGTGAAAATTTTGGTGAACGTTTTCGTACATATACCTACTGTCGATTGTTCAAAATGCAGCAATAATATCGATAGTATACTGGGTTATTTTTAGTCAGTGCGCAAACTTTGCAGGGTGTTTCTACTCTTGATTATGATAAATTTTTGCTATGAGACCACCTGCGAATTCGCAAAAAAAAAATTGGATGTATTTTACACTTTGTGTTGCGATTTCTTGATGGAACTCCAAATTTTAGGTAAATTAAAAACTTTTTACACTAGTTCCACTAATATTCTATTTATTTAAATTATAATGCGACCGGTTTCATTACACCACCATTACTACTGCTTGAAGATGGTGTAACGAAACCGGTCGCATTATAATTTAAATAAATAGAATATTAGTGGAACTAGTGTAAAAAGTTTTTAATTTACCTAAAAAATTGGATGTTCCACAGAAAAATTCATACCTACTCGGCAAAAATGTATGGAACACTCAACATTTTTTTTAGATTTCTCTAGTGGCCCTGTAGTTGTTCAGAATCACGAGTAGAAACCCCGCAAAGTTTGCGCACTGACTAATAAATAACCCTGTATAAGGTGTAAAAAAATCAATTCAGCAAATATTTTAGTGGGTGAACCAGCCCATGAAATTGAACAACTTTCTCCAAGAAACATAGGTCGAAACATGAAAAAAGTTTTGTTCCTCCCATACAAATTGACTCAGTCGGTTGGTACATTTTGTATGAGAGGTCCAAAAAATTTTTTCGTATTCTGACCTATGTTCCTTGGGGATAGTTGTTCAGTTTCATGGGCTGAGGGGAAAGTTGTTCAGTTTCATTCACCCCTTAAAATATTTGCAGTTGATTTTTTTTACAGTGACCTGTATAGTGACACATCGCTGGTTGAGGATAGACTTTAAACCCTTCAACATCGTCGTAAAGTTTCATGTATGTCGGTATTCTTTAAAATGCATTTCGGTGAGTGTGCGCATTCACTCCAGGACCAGATTCCCGCCCCGCTCGCCGTTACCTAATTTGTGCTGATACTCCCATTCCCATTCCATCTCTAGGGCTCGCGTCGCCAACTGCGTATCCACCCTTATGTCGTTAGACATTTTTTTCGCACGAAGAGATTTGCTTCAACTTTCATCATGCGAACGGATAAAGAGTGGAATCCCTGCCTGAGGATCTGTTTCCGGAACATTATAACTTGGGCCTTTTCAAGGCAAAAGTGAATAAAAACTAACAAGGCAATCATGTTTGAACATCGTCTGCATCATCACATTCCAACAGGTGAGATAGGAGAATAGTTCGGGCCAATCTTAACAATAGTATTTCTACAGTTTTAACTACCGATTAGCCTATCGGGATTGTGCAGGGATTTTCGAAACGGTAGGTATTATCGATAGCAGTAGGTAATATCGATATTTCGGCAACTCTAATGCATTGGTTGAAAACAATACTGTATTCTAAACAATAGATAAATAGAAGGATTTATGGACGGTACGTGAGAGGATTGCGAAGAATTCTAAATGCTAGCCGATTTTACGAAAACATGCAAATTGAGAGAGAGCACAAATACTAAGTACCTGTGGACATGTTTAAAAAAATAGCAGATCTAGAGCCATTTTGTGGCCTGTTTCCAGTAGCTTGTTAAAAATTTACTGTATCGTAATAGACTTATATTGGTCTGCTGCTAAATGTGCTTGTATATCGTAATTTGTTTCTACTGAACCCATCCATTCACTTATACTTACCTTTGAAATAAATAAAATCGAGTAAATGAAATTGTGATAGAAACAAGTGATCAAAGACTACTATAGGTACTCTCACTAAGTGATTACAGTCGTTGCGGAATTTCGTTTGCGGGATCGGAAAATACTGTTTTAAAATGCAACTCCAGTTCATGGTACGACATCTACGCGCATAAGCTGGACTCTTGTGCCAGCTAGTTTTTTATTTAACCCCCTATAAGTTATTATTTAATTCCTATCTGAAGGCCTTGGCCTTAAAGTTACGAATCGACGTAGAATAGAATTACATCGTAGTAAACATTATATAATGTCATTCCAAACAAGTTCCCAACTCAATAAAGTCTCTTTCAAGCACAAAGTAAAACTCAGTAAAAATCTCAATGTACCAGCACAACGCAAAACCTGTTTGCATTAAACCTTTCAGCTTTTAACCACCCCTCCATTAAGGCCGTGCCGTGATGCAAAACGGGTTTTTTGAATTCAAAATACTTGCACTTGGAGACGACACCTGACTGTGGTTATTTTATATATGATTTTTGATAATATTTGCTAGATTCTCAACGTTCGCAAAACACGATTCGATTAAATTTTCTCGATAGATTTTTTTTCCAAAGATGACTCCATTTTTTTAGATTTTTTAACTTTACGCCGAAACGGTGCCGAGCTAATCAATGATTTTCGTAAGCATAAGCACATTATACTTATCTAGTTCGTCAACGTTTGTTTTTATTTAAACCTTTTATTGCTGAGAAATCAATAATTTTAGATTTTCAACAATGGCTTGGTTTCAGCCATTTTGCGGACGGGTCGCTCTGTCCCTCTCTAACGCGTACGCGCGAATTGCAAACAGGCCACACCCAGCTCCGCTCTCATTCCACCGTGGCCACTGCCAGAGAGAGGTCATGTCGCACGCTACGCCGAAACTGACAGCTTTTGTCGTAATTTCAGTTATTTGTTTATTTGAAGATTGTAAAATTTTAGGCTTCTAAATATTTTGTAGTCAACTCTGAATAAGATACGTTACTAGAATAAGTGTATCTAGTTTTTTTTACGCCAGTTTACGGTCTTGTGCCTCCATCATCCAGTGTACCCATAATGTAAATTTGAAAAATGGGCAACATATCAAAAACAATTATATCGAGGAAACGCAAAAAAGATTTTTTCAACGCGAAAATAGCAAAATGCAAAAAAATAAGGAAATAGGTACATTTAGCATTACGTGAACGTTTTTTTGTTCATATTTATCAAGTACTATCTATTTATATGAAAAAGTAAATTATATTTATGTTAGTGAAGAAGAATAGTTAGCTTTTTTTACCAATGTAATGCGTACACATTATGTAGACACCTTATTGGTAGAGAGAAGTGTTGATGCATGGAATCTCCTCTAATCAATCGCATTACCTTGAACGAGTTTGCCGATACCTACTCTAAATTTTGATACCTCTCTTGGATGTGACATTGGCTTAGTGGCTAGAGTGAGTGAATCCTTTTGCATACTAATAAACTTTGGGTACTCGGATCAAATCCCGAGATATAGTTTTTGTATTTATTTTGTTGGATATTTTAGGTTTTCTCTTTTTACACTCTTACTTTAATCATAAATTCTTAATACCTACATAATACTTATTCTTTCATGTTTTTTTTTTAAGTTGATGAAAGATTATTGGATTATTATTTATTGCTTATTATCAATGAAAACCATCATAATTACATGAACATATTCACAAAATATTTTTTTATATTTACCTATAGATTAGATTACATATTTACAGATTTTTAAATTGCGAAAATATCTGCCACAGACGTCACAGAGACTTTGGCACAGAGTACATAGAGTCGCCAATACATTATTTAAATTTGATGACCAAACAATGTACGTACCAATCAAAAATTTTTTTTTCTTGGTATTATTATTAATGGCTTACACAGATAGTCAATTTTTAAATATATTTATAGGTACTAAAATTTATATACAATGTAATTTGACTAGTGACCGACACCTCAGGACGGGCTGGTGATAAGGTTCAACTTTCTCAAGGAACAAAGGTCGAAATATAAAAAAATTGGATCTCCACTAGTAACTCAAAATATCAGCTGATTGGCAACTTTGTTTGTATGGGAGGCACATTTTTTTCATATTTCGACCCATGTTCGCTGGACAAAGTTGATTCTTATACCAGCCCGATCTGAGATTTCACTATCAGCCACTAGTAAAATTTCACCTAATATAATTTGGCATTGAATTCTAACACTACTTCCAGTACCTAGATACTTACATATTTTTAGCAATATTGGAAACCCGACCTTCAGTTGAGAAATGTCAATTATTACAAAGGGACAATGATAATGACATAAGTGTGAATATACAGCAGTGCAGATGCCGAAGGTCACATGTTCAAATCCTGTCAGCGGTGGAAATTTTATTGTCTATCTGGGGGCACGGCAGTGCCCCCGCCGAGTCGAGCGCAAAGCAAACACTACCGTACCATCCTTTACTGGAACAATTTCGCCGCATTTTCAGGCCCCGCTATCTCGTTGTAAGATAGCGGGGCTATAATCACATACTAAAAGCCAAAAATTCAAGTCCGTAGGTCATTTAGTTTCGAAGTTAAGCAAAGGCAAAGTTTCAGATTTTAGACGGACACTCACTCACTCATGATCATCAAAATAGAACTAGTGCTTCCCATAAACTCAGACAGCTGAAATATAGTACGGAGTTAGATTTTAATGACCACATAAAGGAAAACTTAAAAACTAGGATAATCGAAGGTTAGGCCAGGCACACCTCTAGGAGCCCAGCTACACCATAGGAGATACAGATATGACATCAAAGCAAAAGTTGTTCACCTTGATGGGATTTTTCTATAAAATAAGTGAAATCCCACCAAAACATTCTGTAAAAAGTAGCCAAGTCTCGATGAAGCTGCTTGTTTATCTCTAAAAGTAATCAAATCTAGGCAAAGTCATGCCAAGTCTAAGGTTCCTTGTTACTATATCTTTAATACGACTGGCCGTTGAACGTTGCGTTAAGATACGTTTTGTGGATACAATTTAACGGCCAGTCGTATAAATTTAACTATATATGAAAAAGAAATAGCATCAAGGAACCTTAGACCTGGCATGACTTTGCCTAGATTTGACTTTGGCTAATTTCTCATCAAATATATTTTATTATTAATAATAAATAAACTAGCCTGATGAGGTACAGAGCAGACTGGAAAATGGCAGGAAAAGCTGGAGAGTGTTGGCCTGAGAAACGGCAGAAC